AAGAAAAGAAAAATCACTTTTATATAAAAAAAATTTTAAAAATAAAAATAGCATAAGACGTAAAATATTTTAGAAAAATTTATTTTATGTAAAAAATTTGAAGAAAAAAGAATTTTAAATTGAAAAAACGATTATTTATAACGTAAAACTACAAAGCAAAAAAAAAAAATTCTCAAATCTAATGTCTCTGTTTGGAATTAGTAAGAGAAAAAAATTTTAAATTGGAAAAAAATTTATAATGTAAACAACACAAATATTAAAAAAAAAATTACTCCGACACACAAGTCTCCGTGCATGGAGACATGCACGCTCCATGCACGGAGGCAAAAAGCCTCCATGCACGGAGAGATATTTTTAATTAATTTTTTATTTATTTAGGAATTGCATTCTTACACTCTTATATAGATATATATAGTAGGGATATAAAAAAAAATTACTTTTATATAAAAAAAATTTATTTTACAAAAAGTTACTTTGAAGTAAAAAATTTGAAGAAAAAAGAATTAAAAAGAATTTTAATTTTTGTTGTTCACATTATAATTTTTCTTTTCAATTTATAATTATTTTCTCTTAGATTTGAGAATTTTTTTCTTTTGTAGTTTTACGTTAAAAATAATAATTTTTTCAATTTAGAATTTTTTTTAATTTTTCCTTCAAATTTTTTATCGTTAATCAGTATTTTTTAATAGTTTGAGATAAAATTAATTTTCTAGTAATAATTCAATATATAAAATGATGAAAAAAAACGTATTCACTCCGTCCATGAAGAAAAAAATTCCGTCATACCACATAATTTTTTGAGCAAAATGATGCATTGAGAAAATTGTTGCGAAAAAGAATAACTAGTAATAAAATAATTAATTTTTTAAAGAAAAAACGACGTATACGCATTTTTAACACATACGTTTAATCTCCATTTAACTATTTTTTATATTTATTTAGATCATCTGATATATCTACGATATAGTTCTCAAAATGAGTTTCGAGAAAATGTAACACATTTATCGATTCGACTATCGTATAATTATTGACGAATTTTTAAAGTTAGCTTGTTATCGAAAATTTCGAAATGGTAATAAAATAATTTATTTTTTTAAGAAAAAACAACTTATGCGTATTTTTTAACACATACGTTTAATGTTCGTTTAACTATTTTTGATATCTATTTAGATCATTCGATATCTCTACAATATAGTTCTCAAAATGAGTTTCGAGAGAATATAAAATATTTATCGATTCGACTATCGTACAATCGTCGATGAATTTTTAAAATTAGCCTGTTATCAAAAATTTCGCAATATAGTTTGAAAATGTCTACTTTGACGT